GCCCAGTTATGAATATTTTAAGGAAAATTAAAAATCCTTCATTTATCTCATCACCTAGAAAAGAGCCTTTGAAAAGCAGTGACGCGTGAATGCTGCTCATGGTTATGTATGTGCGGACGTGTATAACAAGATTTGGATCATAGAATGTCTGGGGATTTTTACTCTTAATATAGTAGCAATTTAAAAATTCACGTTCACTATCATAATTTTTAATGCTAACATAAACAACTTTTGATATATCCATTTATTTTGTCTTATTTTATTTATTTTTTAGCCAAACTGGGGATTGAACTCAGACCCTTGTGTTTGCCAGGCAAGCGCTTATTCTACTGAGCCTCTCCCTGGTCCCTCTTATTTTAAATGGTTAAATTTTTACTTCTGTGGAGAGTTCTAAAGCTGCCATCCTTACTATACACAAAATTCTGTGATCCTATGTGTGTTCATTTTGTTAGGATAAATTTCTGGTAATAGGTGGTCAGAAGACTTTCTTCCTTTCAACTTAGTTCCACCCCAGTCTCAAGAAGAGCTGAAAAACAACGTATCAACTTGCTCTCTTAATGAGAACAGTATTTAGGGGGGACACTGCACAGGGTCAGCGACAGATTTGATCATGAAAACACGTAGCAACCATCACTAACTTTTTATTCTTGTTTTTAAATTCTGTACCATACATATTGTTGTATGTTGCTGTGTTTCTTTGTGTTTACTCCTTAAAATAAAATTTTAAAAAGAGAAGTCCTTTGTCAACTTGAGAGATGGAGGTGTATCCTGTGTGTTCGGCTCAAAGCTCACCGATTCCAGATGCAGGCTGAGTAGTTTTTCTGCTTGTTGGCAGTATGGTTGAGTTTTCTTGCATGCTTATTTTTACGGGTCTAGCACTTTGTGTTGAATAAAGTGTTTTGGAGATTATTTGCTACAAATGCCCCCATGTGTGGCTTGGCATTTTATCTATTCTATGTTGAGGGGGGCTTTCCTCTCTGAAGTTGTGTATGGGAGAAGCCATCTGATGACATTCAGTAACTTCTGGACAATGGTGACACCTCCACATTCCTTCTTCATTTGGTCCCTTACGTTTTGGGGAACTCTTACCCTCTTTGCTCACTATGACAGTAAAGAGAGGCAGCTCAACTATGGAGGACAATAGCTATCCCATTCCCTATGTGGAAAATCAAAGGCCGAGATAGTAAATGGTTCTCACTACACCATGCAGAAATTTAAGGGAGACCTAGAGACAAGGCCCACGGTCCTTGGACCCTGCAGAGTTCCTTCCGCAGTAAAGCCGGACCACAAGCCAGGTCACCTCAGTCTGTCTTGGAAAAAGAGATAAAAGCCATACAGTGCTGCTCACATGTTTTTGCTTGCAGTTTGCCACCCTGACCTAGTTAACAGCTATCTAGACGACCGACCTGGCATTAGATGTCCAAGCAGAGGGGAGACCCTAGCTAGCACAGAAGTATTGCTTTTTGTTTTGTTTTGGGATTTTTGTCTATAGAACAGCTGTTTCATTGAATTTTTTTAAATTAACATGTTCCATGTGTGTGTATTCATGGGATTCAGTGTGGTGTTTCCATATATGTGCATGGTACATACGCATCAACCCCCATCTCTTCCCCAGGCCCTAGGAGTCACTGTTCTCAGCTTGACTGCTTTTCAGTTTTAAAACAGTGCCTTAAGAGATGGAAGACTTATAAAAACTGGCATTTCCTCTCTCCTGGAATGTCTAGGATTGTGTTTGTTCAACACTCAGCATTTGACAAATAGAGATTTCTATCGGCTCCGAGGAAGCGGCGTTCGCCAGAACAGAGAAGGAATTCACAGTCCTCTAAGTGGAAACACATGCTAAGCCTTGGGCTCAAGAAGCTGGATTCTTGCACGATGACACCAGCTAAGGAGCAGGCTCATGGACATGTTGCCGGCTTGGGGGATTTCTCCCTAAAAGGAAATTATTTGAGAGGATCTCCTGTCTTCAACTCCAGGAGACCAAAAAAAGCAAGGGTACATACTCCACGGCACCTGGGGCTCCCTGAGGGGGCCAAAGAACGGAAGTGCAGCTTGGCTTGCAGTTAGCATTTTCAGGAGCAGGTCAGCAGCCAGCGGGGCCCTTACTTTGTGGGTGACACCTGCGCAGGTGGGGCACCACATCTGGCTGCAAATCCCTGCTGTACGGTGCTTGCACAGAGGCCTTTCTGCCCTCTGTGGAGGATGCGACTGCCCCAGAGAGGGACACAACTAAAAGCTCTCGCTTCTCTGTGGTGTCACCTGTCTCTTCTGGAACCTTTCCGACCCACCTCCCTCAAGATGCAAAGCCTCGGATAGCAGCACGAAGGGAAGCAGCCCACGTGCTGTCCCCCTGACACACACACACACACACACACACACACACACACACACACTTCTCTCTTGCTTCTTCCCGCAGAGTCTGTGACTTCTCCGAACATAGGGACTCTGTTTCCCGGTCTTGGTGTTCATAGCAACTAGTATGGGTTCAGAAAAAACCATCTTTAAAGATGGACTTAGCCTAAATCCGTGCCTGCCTGAAAATGTTCTAACCTTACAGCTCAGGGCAAAGTCATCTCGGACTCCCTCCCTCCCTCAGGCACTGTTTGCATCTCTTGGCAGAGTTGGCGACCTACATGGAGGTCACCCAGATGCTTTCAGGGCACGTCTTATGTTTCTAGTGTGCTGAAAAGCAATGGTATCATTATGTAGTGCAATCCGCTCTCCACACACAGCTGTGTTTGAGGTCCACGCACACGGATCAACGCATCTAAATTTTCCCTTTCCATTATTGCATGCAAGCCTCAAGGGTCAGGTGATACACCACACCTCGCTAGCATCTTACTGACAGCCATGAAGTTGTTCTCAGTCTTTGTGTTAGCAAATGGGTGACTGTACCAATCTCCTATTGCAGTGTTTCTCTAGTAAAAATACCCAGAAGGGAATTCTGGTCATAGAGGCAGTGGGAGGGGGGAGGGTGTTAATTCTGAGGCACAGCATAGCAGAATTCTTGGCCTCTAGCAAGTGTGTAACAGATCTCATTTAAGTGCGCCAACTGACTTCTTTCTTAGCAGGACACAGGACACAGGGTGTGCAGGAGACAATTCAAGCCTGGGAGTCGGGGTGGTGGTCCAGACCCGCTCTTGCCACCACCCAGCTCTGTGGTACTGCACTTTCTTCCCTTCTTTGGGCCTCAGGTTCCCTATCTGTAAAGTGAGCAGGTTGGGCTGTACTTTCTTCCCCTTGGGGTCCTCCATCCGTGCAAGAGGGTTCCTACCTGCGGCGTCCCCAGTCGCTCTATCAGGGGCACCAGGTGCAGTGGGGCATACTTGGCTTCAAGGCGCTTCATCCGGACTTCCAGGCGCTCTCCCTCTGGAGAAGGAGCAATGGAACACAATGAGATTTGGGGTACAATGGGTGGCTGAGAGGGAGACACCCTCAGAGGGGCTGGGGTGACATGGCTGTGTCTCCAAAGTGGGGTGGAGTAAGCGCTGCTCTGGGAAGCATGATAAGGACTCAGCATGGAAAGAAAAAAGGACGCAGCTTGAGGAAACCGCTGCCATGAGCTCTGTGCAGCTGTGGAATCCTTGACCTTGGGTACGGTAAGCTTCCCACCACAGGAGGAAACTGAACCAACGTGGGGGAGTCTTGCGTGGGACTGCTCAGAAAGAACAGACTCAGAGCACCCCTTCCGGGTCCAGAATCCTATAACTGAATCCCACTGATGCCTTTAGCCTCCCTTGCTGAGTGCAGGGCTGAGGTCAGCATGGTTGGGGAGTGAGCGCGATCGGGCGTGAGGTGCACACCTGGAGTCCCAGTCCCAACGGGAGGAGGCTGAGGCAAGAGGACTACAAGTTGGAGTCCAGCCAGAGAAACTGAGAAGGAGCCTTTTAAAAAAAATTTTAAACAAAGGTGGGGTGAGGTGCTGGGACACAGCTCAGTGCAAAGGCTCTGGGTTCAATCTTTAGGACTGTAGAATAAACAAAAAAAACACGAACCAAAGTAAAACGAAAAAGTTCACTTAGTTTAGATGCATCTACCAATTGGGCTTCCCACCTTTGATGTAGACTCGAGGGAGAATGTTCTGGAAGGGCGCAGCATGGAGCAGGTCACAGACTTCCTCCTGAGACTGTAGAGACACAGGAAGGGAGGGGGAAGAGGGGAGAGAGAGAGAGAGAGAGAGAGAGAGAGGAGTATCTCATTTTAAACCCAGAAGAATTTTTATTCCTAAAAGCTAAAACACTGGAGTTAGCCAGACCTGGGTTCCAGCAGTCAGTTACTGAGCCCCAGTCCCCGGCACATGAGCACCCAGGACATTTTCACTATAGTCTTATAAGGCATCTGCTGAAGAATCGGGGAGGGAATGACAGAAGGACCACAGAAAGACACTGAGCCCCAGACTCTGTCTGGTTGGTTGTAAGGTCTGCAGGGGCTGAGGTGGCAGCTGGCCCTGTCCATTAATCCAGAATAACTGTAAAAGCCTGTGTCTGATTAGTCTGGTTTGCTCCATACCAGACGCCAACTGGTGAGAGAAGAAAAATTAGAACACAAGTCACACAGGATCTGATAGAGACTATTTATGTACAAAGTCAGCTTATGAGTAATCATAAACAATAATGTGTAGAGGAAGAAGTTTGGTTAGGACAAAATGGAAGATAAGGTCTAATGGGCTTACTGTCTCAGGACCAGCTGACAGCTGGGTTTCAGGGCCTGGCCAACCCACCCTGCTGGGGCTCGAAGTGGTGGCTGTTGGACTCCTCCTAGATTCTGATGCCCGAACATCAGGGCTGCAAGTGTGGTGGGTCTCTTTGCCTCATGGAGGGGTCCCACCCACCCTGGTAACCTTGGAACCCTTTTGAAAACTGCAGATTGGTTTTTGAAATGAGGATACCAGAGGGAGGAGGGATACTCTAAATTCCCTCCCAAGAGAACTGCCTGGTCTCACCATCATTCTTAGTTTGTCAGAGGGGAGACTTTCCCACCTTCTTAATTACGCTGTTTCTCTCAACACAAGGGAATGAACTGCATGACCTAGATAGCGAGGAGGCCCAGCGGTCTC